GTTTTCCATCTTCAAGTTCTTCTTCTCTTCCAATCAAAGAGTGAGTGTGGTTCTCGACTAAGCAATATGAAGTTGTTTCACAATCATCTACTACCAGTAGAGTGATATCTAGGGGCTTGGCTACTTCAACTGTCCCTAGAGGGTGGGTTATATGAAAGGGGAGCCTCTCCAGAGTTTTGAACATGCAAAGGAGCTTGTTTTTTCATACAACAAGCTGTCATTGAGTAGGGGGCTACCTAAAATTCCGTGGTTCACCAGCAGAGAAGCCTCTAAATCTAAAATTGGTATTTTCATGGGATAAGCCCATAGGTTGCCTTCCTTTTTCAGTGCTTATATAATCATCCATGCCACTTTCTCTTATCCCCAAGGCTTGCACAGGTTTCTCTATGATCACAATCCTTGCTGGTCTAGGAATCATCATTGAAACAAACTAGGGACTGAGAGATATAATTTTTTATTTGGGCCACGGTTGGTCTCTGGCTGGTCAATCAAGTGCTCCTTTATCTCCAGCTCTGAGAATACCTATTTTTAAACTGATTAGATGCTTGCTCAGGTTGAGTACGGCTTTTTTCATCTTGTCCGTTGGGTTGGTCTACTTGTCTAGGTGGAGGGACAAGCAGATAGATAGGAGTTTGCATGTTAGCTAACATCTCTACTAAACATCCAGAGAGATCAGCTTTTTTGGCTCAACTTTATGGATTTGAAAAGCTTGATTCAAGCAGACATCTCTAACATTATGATCTTCATGATGGACGGTATCGAATGTAGCCACATAATGACAACACCTCACCACACATGTAAGGCCATCGCATTCRTGAGTCCCCTCAATTAGTGCCTTCAATCTTCCCCAACACCAGTCGATCAGATCTTGCAAGAATTTCAAGTGGCTATTTGTGCTAGGCAACATGCACATCATCTCAGGATTTAGAACTGATTAAGCAAGCCTCGTCCTTGGAGGCTTAGAGCATCTAGTGGTCTCAAGGAGGCTATTTGGGAGCTAGCGATATAAGGGGACTTTTTCCAACCAAATTGAAAGTTTCTACAAAGTTTTTCCAACTGCTATTTTGATAAGTCTAGGAATATCTCCTTGACAAGAGATCTTCCTTCATTCACACCCATTCGCAAGTACTAAGCTCTTGGGGCTATCGTTAGTTTCGACAAAACAACCACAAGCGCTGCCAATTACTCAAATGACTGTTGAGCACAAAGGTTCAAAGGTAGGCCAAAGACCCCCATACCCTGGCATCAGCAGGTTTACTTTTTCCCCTTTGATGGGCTTCTCCCACCAAGTGATTTGTACTTCTTTTCCTTATAACCACCAGGATCCTTTTGAGAGGGATTTTGAGGTTTCATTTTGGAGAATATAAAGAGAAAACTATCTTTCAAAAATTGTTTCATCCTTAATCCACTAGCCAGTCTCCAAGTTCAAATAGCCCAACAACTGACTTCGACCGAACATAGGGAATTGTCCAACCAAATAGTTCTTAAGAAATTTTTCTCTAGCATAGACACTATCCTGGTTAATGCTGATAACAATTTTGTTGTCCCAATACCAAAGAGAGGCGATGCCTTCAATTGGCCAAAAATCTGGAGGATCCTTCTTCTAGTAAAGATGCTTCAAGTCTTCAACCTTGTCTTCAAGAGGTTTTTGCTTCAGCGGGGTTTACGATGGGTGACGATCTTGTAGGTAGTATCATCTTCTTAAGCTTCTCACTTTCTTGCATTTGACACATAATGACAGGGCAAACCAGATTGAAGTTAGTCACCAGTGTCAAACACTAGAGTGCAAAGCTTTTGGTCTTGGCAGAAAGTGAACAAGGAATTTAAATGTGTGAATCACAACAGATTTTTTGACAAGGATACCTTATTTGCTTTTTGACTTTGTACTTTGTATTGCCCGATTGAGGTGTATATGAACTACAYTTTTGTCTATAATATAATACATTACAATACCTTTTTTCAAAAAAAAAATAATACATTACAATAGTCCTATGAATAATTGTGCCCTTGTTGCTCATTGCCTAGAAAGTGAATTAGCCAAACAGTTTACCCAATGAAAAGTGGCCTCAAATTCCCTTGGCAGCATTTTTAACTCCTTCAACATATACCTTTGTTCCCAGAAACCTTTGTTGTTTTCTCTCATCCAACCCACCGCTACCTTTAAATCCCCTTCCACTGTGATATTCTGGATTTGCATGTTCCTCCCTACCCTTAATCCTTGCAATACTTCCATTTATTTCGTCCTCGAAGAATCACCAAATCCCATTGGTCCCAAGAACAAGGCAATAATTTTTCTGCTTGCATCCCTAAAAGCTCTTCTGATACTCGATGGTCCTAGAGCAATTATCTTCTTGTGCTTCATTACTTTGCAATTGGATGGTTGTCACTCCTTTGGTGAGAGAAAGTAAAGTATCGTATTGTATGGCATTGAAAACAGCATTCACAAGTATAGCTGTGTAAAATAACGAACTGTACAGCTCATAAAATATAGAGATGATCAGAAGTTTAAGTCATAAAACTCTCCAAGAAAACAAAATTTAGTGTGAAAAGTAAGCATGATAGTGTATCTTTTTGGGCTGAACCTGAACCGCAAACAAGGAATGAAGCAGAGTGTTGGACAGTCAAGAAACAACATGTCCAGAAAATGGGTGTGGCAGAAATGTGAATGCTAAGATGGATGAGTGGAAAAACTAGAAAGGATATGATCAGAAACGAAATCACTGTAGGAACTTAGGAGTAGCTCCTATAGGTGATAAAATTAGAGAAAGTAGATTAAGATGGTTTGGTCATGTGCATAGATACCAACAAAGGTACCTGTAAGGAGAAGTGAATTGTTACAAGTTGAAGGGGCTAGAAGCGCAAGGGGTAGACCAAAAAGGACATGGTAGAAGCAGTACGAAATTACTTAAGTGCCAATAATTTAACAATGTATATGGCATTAAACAGAATGGACTAGCGAAAAAGGAGTCATGTAGCCAACCCCCTATAGTTGGGATAAGGCTTGGATGATGATGATGATAGTCATCTCTTTGTTTTAAAAAAATCTGATATTTCTTTCCATCCACAGGAACCAACAAATTGCCACTGGAATATTAAATAACACAGTAAAATTATCCTCAAACAACATATCTTATTCCTCCATACGTCCCATAAATAAGCTGTTAGTAGTGTTTTAAAAGCAAGATGTGCAGCTGAAGCACAAGAGATTCCTAGAGACTGAGGTATTCAAGGTCAGGGAAGTGCCTGAATGAACTGATGTGCCATTTTTGTGAAAGAAAAAATGAATGAAAAACTTAATATACAATAATATGCAAATCTAACTTATGAAAAAAACAAAATATATCAAAAAGCCTTCTTCAATTGTTTAAGACTATCATGTTGTTAACACAACGGTTGTAGCATTGTATGTTAAAGTCTTAAATAAGCTAAACAATTTAACCTTTGAACATCATAGGTTCACCCTACAATATAGCTATGTATTCAACATTAAATTCAAGGTGAACTTACCAACAAGATGAGAGCCGTGAGGCATGCCTTGGTTCAGACAAGGCACAAACCACAAAATGACCCCTTCCTGTGAGCCTAAGGATGCCCAAGGCATGCCTTTTAAAAATGTCCAATAGGTAAATTTTTTAAGAGGGATTTGGGATCTTAATAGATGTTAGGGTTTGGCACTCTTATCCCCTCCAATAAATGCCTATAGCTTAGCTTTTCAGCAATCAACAATAGGTGACATACATACTCATGGTCATAATTAGTCCACTTCCCTTCTCTTGCTACTAAAATTTCTTAGATGCTACCTAAGTTTTCCATTAACTCATCCATGAAATTTATCAGCCAATGGCACTAATACCTAGTCATCAGAAAGGGAAACCATAGAAAGTATTTTTTATTGACAAATTAGGCAATTGAAAAAAGAAGGTTTTTGCAAGCCTTTCCAACCTATTTTCATGTGCCAAATTCTCACTTCTGCAATAGACCTCCTGTTCTCAGTCTACATTGCTCTATCACTTTTTCAGTTCCTCTACCTGTAATTCTAACACAACAGTTATACTGTAGAACCATACAAGTCTCAACGCTCAAGGTAAATCACACAACTGATTCCAAGTGGTAATTATGAACCTTAACCCTTGAGAGAAAACTCAACCTCTTTACCTTCTCAATATGCTCATTTCTGCCACATGCCTCTTCATCTCTCAGCCCCCACTATTATATCTCCTTTACCACTAATTTTAACAGAACACCTTTGTCATATAACTCTTTAAGCATCAAGGCAAATCCACCCACCGACTCAAGTGATGATTTTGATTTTGATGACAAGCTTCAACTAGGTTCTAGCATGAATACATTAAGTTTCAACTAGGTTCTAGCATGATTTTGATTTTAGGGTCAGCTACATGAATACTGTTTTGCCATTGCACTCTACAAAGAGACGAAACTGATATTAACATTCACGACATAAATTTGGTGAACATAAAAAAGAAACTTTAAACAATATTTAAAATGTTAGACTAGGGCACCACCATGATGTTCACAATATGTTTGTTTTAACATTGGCAACCTTAGGAATTCATAAAACTTGGCCAAAGAGCACCATATACCAGAAGGAACACTTTTCTTGCTTATGCAATATCTTCATTGAAGAAAAAAATAGTTATAAATAGATTTGGTTAAAAAAGAGGGCAAAGAGTATACTTCAATACCCAGACTAACATCAATATTCCCAACCTTTTTGAACCATGTATATAAACCCCAAGTGTTCAAACTAAAACTGACTGGGAAGAATAAATTAAAGTGTCATGAAAGAGCTAGAAAACACAACCAAATATCAAAAATTAGTCCGAAGCAACAGAGAGATAGCAACTGTCCAATAAACAAACTTTCGCAACCAATAGTAAAATCCCCATATACTCATCAAAAAAATAAAAAATAGTAAAATCCCCACAGACCAAAAGTAAATAAATAAAAGAAGTCAGAGTTCCTTTACATAGCATACTTACTTCAGCTTGCACAAAAATGTCGTTGGCTTCTTCAACCTGTTCTCAATCCTGTCACCGCTCAAAAATGTAGTGGTTCTTCGCTCTCCCATTCGAGAGCCCACAATTGATCCATGCCCTTTCATTCCAGACGACAACATTTGTGTCTTATGCAACACAGTGTTCTGAGACTCCTTTAATTGCTGCCTATGCTTCTCTTCCTGCCTCTGTTTTTCATACTCCCTCTTCTTACGCAACCTTCTCTCTTCTTCTGTCTCAACTCGCCCAGCAGGCCCATTGGGTTTTCCTGGGGGCACGGGAGCAGCAGACGCCTTCTGTTGCTTAGGTGGAATAGCATGTCTGGAATGTCCCGCCTCACGCCAACCAACACCATTGGCGTCTTTGGGCCCCCCTCTGTCGTGCCCATGCCCGTGACCATCAGGTCCACTTTCTTTCCCCTGATTTGGTGGAGCAGAGGACGGAGGTGGCGGTGGAGGTGGTGGAAGTGAAGGAGGGGGCAGTGGCGGAGGAGGCGGAGGAATTGAAGAATTGGGAGGAGGTGACGAAGGAGGAGGAGGTGGTGGTGGAGGCATTGGCGGTGGTGGAACTGAATGAGGATGAAACTGGGAATACTGAGAGGACGGGTAGTACATAGGAGGCTGCGGAGGCTGTGGTTGAGAGTTTATGGAAGACGACGGAATTGGAGGAGGCGGCGGAGGCTGATATGAAGATTGTGGCGGAGGTGGCGGAGGCTGATACGGGTACTGCTGATGTGGTGGCGGTTGCTGCGGTTGTTGTTGAGGCCTGGAAGGGCCGTAATGGTGGGAAGAAGAAGGGTACCCGCCATGATGAATATTCGAATTGGGGTGTATCTGATTATAATTCGGTGGATAAGAAGCGGAAGGCACCGATGGCTGAGATCCAGGGGGACCGCTGAATCCCCGATTTTGAGGATACTGAGTTCCTCGTGGTTGTGGAGGTGGTGGAAGAGCGTTCTGGTTCGGTGGAGGAAATGAAGACTGAGGAGGGAACGGCCTGAATGACGCCATGCCTGACTACTCGCTCTGTATATCTCTACAGATAGGTATTGTAGATTGGTCAATTGGTTTAATTAATTGAATTTCTGGTAATGAGAGTGTCTCTAAGAAGAAAATCTGAATCGGCTAAAACCCTACCTTTATTAGAGAGGAAAAAAGATGCCTTTCCTCTTTATTATGAGTCTTGGTTTGGCTTTTACGAAAACCCTAGAAATAAAAATCTTTGCAAATATTTTCCCCTTCTATGGTATTGGTTCTGATTGAAGACCGCTAAATCAAGTTCAAGATGGGGAGGGACTCTGTAAGTGATATTTCTAGTCCGAGCCGGAGAAATTCAAGCTTTGACTTTTAAGCAGCTGGCGTCCGGAAGGACTAAGAGAGAAAGAAGGCTTACCGGCGGAAGCTAGCAGCGGCCGATAAGTGACTTATAATTTGTTCCCGAGGTCTGACTCTGTCTTCGTCGTCGGACTCGGATCGGTGTGTTCAGAGAAAGAGAAAAGGAGTCGACGAATTGAGCTTTCCTTTTTAGTTTTTACTGCTCGGAGTCGCACGTGCCGGGAGCCCATGCGAAAATGAGATGTAAGTTGGGTATATATATCCGTGAATTATCTAAGCCTATATTTCAGACCCAGTATGTATGTATGTAGGCCTGTGCTGAAACCGGGTTCAGTAAGTGCAAGGCCCGTTCGAACAGCCTTTGTAGTTTTTATAGCCTTGCATTGGTAATATTTTGAAGTCGATTTGATTTCGCTTGTGTTAGGGAACTTAAATTTTGTATGTCCATTTTCTTTTTAGGCTGTGTTTGGTTGCAGTGCAAATTTATTTGCATTAATACAAATGTATGGGAGTGTAAATATAAAAAAATGTAAATTGTTTAATTTTGTTTTGGATTTTACTTTGTTCTGTTTCATGTCTTAATTTACTTCATTTGTATTGCAATAAGAAAAAAAAAACTAAAATTTGAAACAAAAATAGGTTAGAATTTACACTCAAATCATTTATACTGACATGATTTTGCATCAATGCAAATTTATTTGCATTGCAACCAAACACAGCCTTAAAAAAATTTGAAATTGAGAGATATTGAGGGATATATATTAAATTCCAGTTATAAGAAAAATTATGAATTTATGAGTCAATATTTTCTTTTAATGAACGAAATTTTAAAGTTCATGTTTGTAACTAAATGCATCCCAAGTTGATTTGTTGAGTTTTATTTTCTATTAATTAGCTCTTATAACAAATGTTTGAGTTAAATCTTTTTAGATGGCTATTTGGCTAGGGCCATTATGCATGAGAACAATCTGTTGGTTGTTAACAAAATTGTATTAGTAATTTATTCTGTGATTATCAATGTTTTAGGACTTGACCATACCAAATGATTGGAATTTTCGAACTAAGGAGCAGTTCCATGTGTGTGTGTGTGTGTGCATCCATGTGTTTAGACCAAGTTTGGAGCGAGTACTTAAAAAAAAAAGAGTTTATTCAAATAAGCATTTATTTGCATTTGGCACTCAGATTTTTTCGATGTTTATTTTAAAAAATAAGCACTTGTTTCATGTTGGGCATTTGGTGACTTTTTCCCAATTAAGTACTTATTCATTTAAAATGACAATTAACCTTTTTTTTAGTATTGTTGCATCTATATTGACTTAAGCATATTTTTAAACGCCAAATCAAGCACAATATGTGCTAATCTATTTATCTATATCTATACTACTTATGAAAGTATGAATGAGGAGGTATTGGTTTATGGAAATTTTCTTTACAAAAATACCCTCTCTTGAACTTAGCTCGTCTATATTAAAAGGGCAAAAAATGTAATTAAAAGAATACCATTAAGTGCATTCAATTACCTCTCATTAAGTCTCACATTTAAGTCATTAAATAAATCACATTATCTCTCATTGAATCCAGCATTTATATTTTTGTTTATCATCATTAAATTGCACTAATAGATCTATACACGATAATTATTAATAGAATGAAATTTTATATTTTTAAAATAAACCTATAAATGAAATCATATTTCCCATATAGGTCGTGGATAAGTACTTCAACCATTTTGGTCAAATGGATAATTTAATGATGTCATAAATAAATAATACAGATTTAAAAATATAAAAAAAATTGGACATGTTTCTATTATTATATATGTGTCATATTAAAAAATAAGTATGATAAAATAGACATAATTTTATTAATGATGGACATCAAATATACAACTTAAAGCCGATGAAAAATTAAACCATCTTTCTATCTAGGGGTGGACATTTCAGTCAAAAAAAAGTTCTAAGCCCTCATTCTTATTTTTTTATAATAGTATAGATTAGTGTTTCTTCCTTTGGTCAAAGCCATTGACCCAATTCCTATAGTTCTTTAGATGTAAGGGACACCCACAGTGGTATCTGATATGGCCGGGCGGTCCATCCACCTCATATTCTTCCCTAAGCTATGCCTTCCTACAATGGAAAGGTTGCTGTTTACTTGATCCCTGTAGCCCTCCTGTTTTCAAACAAAAAGTGAAAAAACAAGCTTATTGCAAATAATGATGAGTCAGTTGTTTTGACTGAACCCCCTATTGAAAATCAACTAGCATGGCATACGCTATGGCCAAAGTCACAAGTTTTTACAGCCTGGGAATGAGCTATATTGTCTATGCTTGTCTCTTTTACCATTCTATATATATATATATATATGACTATTCCTACCAGAGCTGGTAATCCAGTATTCTCTGCAATGATGATTTCAAGACAACACAAACGGGTAAATCCCCATAGTTAAGGAAGAAACACTACAAATCTACATTCCATTGACAACACTGGTGGCCATTGGGAAAAAGATCACAACACAAGGGGAAAATCTCCACGGTTCAAGACAACATATTCCATTGGAAAAAAATATATATATATATATATCACAACACAGGGAAAAATCACAGCATGGAAGAAGCACAAATCAACACTCACATAAAAAAGAACAGTGAGTATGGACGCCAGTCACGCCATGCTCAATGTTTGGTTTAGGAGGAGCTTTTTTTTTTATATGGTAGGAGGGGGGGTAGCACGTCCCCAAAAATCAGAAAAACAAATAAAAAGTAAAGGCCAAGAAACATTATTTGCATTCAGACTATAATCCTCTCGAGGCTGGATTCAGTGAATCCTTCGGTTTATTGGGCGTGTGAACCCTCCAATAGGAAGCGTGCACGTCACCCTTTTCGGTTCTTTTACTTTAATTCCCATTAACTTGTCAGCCCGATTCAACCGGATGGGAAAAAAACAAAAGCAGCGAAAACCAAGCACTCCCATTCTTCCTCCCCCACACTTCGTTTGAACTCTCTTTCCCCATTTTCTCCAGAGCCTTAGCTCAAGAACACAAGACCACGGGCGGTACTCTTCACTGTTTCACTGAGCTTCGACGGCGTGCACTCAACCGGCGGTAAGTATCCCTTCTCCTTTTCCTTGAAACCCCGCTATTCTTCTCAAATCTTATCTTCCTTTCTACAGACCATCAGCGACAAGATTCAACCGGCATGCACCAATCTTCTCAAATCTTATCTTCTTCATTGCAGCAGACTGTTGCTGATAATAATTTCTTCACCGGTAGAAGTTAAAAGATATTAAGGAGAAGATTGAAATAGAGTGGTCTGTTATCTGTTTGTTAATGGAGTTTCAACGAATCTATATCTCAATGTCAAGCTCTTCTTCTTCTTCTTCTGTATCTTCACCGAGCCATAGACCACAAGCTCACTGGCGGTTTCATTGCAAACCGACATTCGTGAAATCAACCGTAAAATCTATTGGCGACGGTAAGAAATCAACCGGAGCTCGTGAAGCCAAATGTAAAATCTACCGGCAGCAGAAAAAAATCAACTGGTGGTCATCTAAAATCAYTCAGTAGAACAAGTCTGTATCTCCACGCCAAACTCTTCTTCTTCTCATTCTCTTCCTCCTCTCCTTATTTTCCCTTTTTATTCTCTCATTTCTGTCGACTACTGTGACCAAGCTATTGCCGACTGCTATGATGAAGCTATTGCTAGAAGATTTCTGTCAATATACTTTGCTAGTCTTCTTTGTTTTTCTTTAGAAGTTGCTGGACTGCCGGGTGTTCGTCACCATGTCTGGAATTGAAACTCAGGAAGTCGATCCAATCAGGGGAAATATATACTACAAAGAAAGAAGAAAACGGAAAGAAGAATAGGGAGAGGAGGAGGAAGAGAATAAGAGAGACTTACCGCTCGCCGCTGGTTGTCGGTCGTCGGTTGATTTTTTATGCCAAACGTCACTGGTGTTCTAGTCATGTATGGTCAGAGACGATGCGGAAGAGTTTGGATGAGAGAGGAAGTCCAAAAGTGTGGTTTTATTGCTTTTTTGTCATTTAGTGGCCGGTTCAACCATAGTTAACAGAACAATTCCGTTACATCTCTAGTAATTCAATGAGGAGACGTAGTCGATTCTGGTTGGTGGGTTCACGCTTCCGGTGAACCCACAGGTTCACAGAATGCGAGCTCCAATTGATTTGCCTCGCCTCTCGATACACGTTGTAATAAGATACTCCTTTGTGAGATCATTTTCTATAGGAATGTCAACCGTATTCGAAAATACGATTTTGAATTTGAGAATTTGGGTAATTCAAATATTTAATCGGTTGAATTTGGATATGTCGTCATTGGATTTGATGAATATTTGAATTCAATCGATTATTTAATTCATATATGTAATATATAAAATATTTAAATGGTTTATGTTGGTGCTCGAATTGACCGAAGATAACAAGGTAATTCCATCCCTAAGTTTCTGAGGTTGGCCGAAGGCTTTGAGGGTTTGAAGAGGTTGTTGTCGAGGCCAAGGTATGTAAGTTAAGGCGGGGGAGGCTCTGAGTACTACTGAAGCCAAAGACAAGTGGCTGAGGTACTCTAAGACAGAATACATCAAAGGCCCTGGGTGAGACCCCAAGGCAGAGTCTCCAATGGTCAAGTTAGTACGGGGTACGAAGAGGGGAACTAAAATATAGTTTTGAGACCAGTTCCAAATCTAGATGTCGATTGTGTTAGACTCCACCCCTTACCTGGAGGGGGGTACCCCTATTTATACTTGAGTTGCCTAGAGGTAGGTGGAGATGAACGCTTGAGATGGGTGTCGTACGAGGGCGGTCAGAGAGCTATGCGGGGACGTGTGGGCACTACGTGATTGGCTTCGTACGAGGGGAGCAAGGTGACCCCTGTTGTAGAGGATCTCGTTTCCGAATCTGGCACTCGTGGGCTGGGTCGGGTCACCCCACATCACTTGGCCCCCACTCCTAAGGCTGAGAGAAAAATTTGGCTTCGACTAATGGGAGTAGAAATGGTGAGCGCTAGTGGGCTCGGTAGCTGAGGTGTACCTTGTGGTGGTGTCCTCTTTCTCGTCTCTGCCTGGTTTGTCTTTATAAGTTGGGCTCGAGGCTGCGAGTGGTCTATGACACTGCTGCTTCGGACAAGTGACTCGAGGGGCACGCTCAGTGCGGATGCTCTGGCGCCGTCATCTGGGCTGAGGACCTACGGGGCCGAAGGCCGTTTAGGCCGAAGACCTATAAAGCCGAATGTTGTTTAGGCCGGAGACCCGTGAAGCTGAAGGCTGTTTAGGTCGGGGACCTGTGAAGCTGAGGGGCCCGTGGACCCGTGCGTAGGACGGCTTTTCAGTTGGGCTAGAGTGCATGCTCGCGGGAGCGGGCAGCCCAGACCAGCGGGTCACTTTGGGCGGATGCACTGGTCTGTCTTGAGCGTCGTTTCATCTTCCAAGGGTGAGCGCTTAGGGGTGCGGCACAACTGGATCGCAGGTGCACCCTGAGCGTCGTTTCGCCTTTTGAGGATGGGTGTTCAAGGGTGTGGCACAGCTGGATCGCAGGTGCGGAGGCATTTCACGTCTGTTGGATCAGGGAAAATATGAGTCGTCGCTAGCGCATTGTTTTGCCTTCCGAGGTTGAGCGTCACGCGACGCGCCATGATTGGGTTATGAAGGCGATGGCTTCTCAACCATTGGATCTTGAGAAATCTGGGCCGTTCGTTCCTCTTTAAATAGGGGCTTTGACAGCAAAATTCTCGTCATTTTGCCTCCAAGTGCTTTCGCCTTCGAGTAAACTCAGCTCCCAGACTCTCCAATCTTCAACACTCTACCTTCACTTCTTTTGCTTCCACTCCCCTTTTTAGGTAATTTCCAACGATGTCTTTCTCAGATTTTGGACCTGAGTGCTATGAACTTCCGAATTTATTGGAGGGGAGCTCCATTCAAACCCCTTCTCCCCTTTCCCCTTTAAGCCCTTCTGTTTCTGTTCCCCTTCAATGCGAGGTGGAGGTGCTCCGGGATAGGGTGACCTCCGGGGGAGCTGAAGGCATCCGCCGAGGCAATGACCCTACCTATGAGAGCGCTGCATCTGTGACGCAGAGGGGTCCCCCCAACCCGAGGGGGAGCAGGACCCGGACCTCGTCCCCAGGACAAGGGTTGAGAGTGTTGCCAAGGTAGTGGCCAAGACAAATCCCTATCGCCCAGAGTTCAGAGGTTCTCTGGAGTGGGATCAGGTCAAGGCCCTGACGAGGCAATACTTCATCCCTTCGTCCTATGGGGTGAGGTTGCCCGAGGCAGGTGATCGGCCGTGGACTCCCAAGGAGGGGGAGATTTGCGTTTATTAGCACTTCCTCCAATTCGGTCTTCGGCTCCCCCTTCATCTGTTGATTTCTAACTTGCTAAGGGTGTATGGGATTACCCATAGCCAATAGGTGCCCAATGCGATAAAAACCATTATGGCGATGCTGGTGGCGGCTCGGCTCCAAGGGGTGGAGCTGACGCCAAAGCGTTTTCGAGCGGTCTTCTTGCTGAGGAAGCACTCTTCCGAAGTTGGTGTCTTCTACTTCCAACCCTACAAGTCCAAGCCCGTAGATAAACCCCTCTTCTATGCACAACAGTAAGAGTAAATATTTCTTTTTGTCTTGTCCCGAGTGTCGGTCCTCCAAGTCGGGGTGGGGAGAGGCCAGCTTGTCTGCAGAGAAAAGTGTTCCCTTGCTTAGGAGTGAGGAAAGTGATGATCTCGCGCGTCTGCTCAACCTAGGGAGAATTCGAGCCCAGCCCCTGGTGGAGGAGGAGATCCCATTGGTTTTCGCGGGACTCAGCCCTGCCCACTTGATAGGATAGGCACGCAACTCCTTTCCACGTTTTCCTTGCCTTCGTCTTTGTGTAATGGTACTAACTGTTGTTTTGCTTGCAGAAGTGCCGATGGATGGTCGGAAGGCCATACTGGACCATGGCCACGTGATACTGAAGGAGCGGGCGAACGCTGGCGGACAGATGCCTCAGAGGCCCACCGGGGGCATGCCAGCTAGAAGGAAAAGGCATTGACCCCTAGAAAGGGGGGTCTTCCCGCTAGGTTCCTCCCAAGGGGACGAGAGCATAGGTCCCTACCAAAGGGACTTCTTCAACACCTCCCTTGAAGGGAGCCACTCCATAGATCCCCACAAAGGGGAAGGGGCCCGTCGAGGAGGGCCAGCCGAGGCACGAGGAGCAGGCGCTGTAGCAGCCGACTGAGGTGTCGAGGGGACCGGCCGACGAGGTCGAGGCAGGGAGGAAGATGTCGGTCGAGGGGGTCAACCGCAGCAGAAGGTGGCACACACCGGGAGTTCTGTTGGTGACGGAGGTCCCACAAGGAGTGAATGGGGCCATTTTTTGCTCCCATGCCATTAAAGGAGCTCGTCCAGTGGTCTGACCAAATCTTCTGCCCTGAGTGTGAGATCCGCAAGGGGGACTCTATCCGCAACGCGAGATTTGGCCTGGCGTTGGTGAGTGAGGCTCTCCTAGCACGGGACCGCTTCTAGATGCTGGGGATGGCCCCGAACAGTTTGTACGAGCAGGGGCTGCAGAGCCTGGCCGAGGTAATAGCTTGCTCCTCTTTCCTTTCCTTCTTTTCTTCATTTATCCGTTGGGTGCTAACTATTTTCTCATTGTAGGTCTGTCTTCACTTTGTTTGGCTAGCGAATTAGTTGAAACTAACCTTAGCCAATATGGGCAAGCTGGAGGCTGAGAAAGACAAGCTTCAGCAAGCCGCCACCACCACCGTGGAGAAACACCGCGAGTTCCAGCTATACTTCGGCGAYGAACAAAAGCTTCGCATGGAGGCCGAAGAGAAACTGAAGAAGACGTAGGATCTCCTTTCCCAAGAGAAGATGGAGATGACTCGTGCAGAGACCCTCATTTCTGAGGCTGAATGGTGTCTCTAGCAAGCCGAGGTAGACATTGCCGAGGCAAACAAGCGGGCGGCCGAAGCAGAAAAGAGGGCCGATGAGGCAGCTAAGAGGGCTGTAGAGGCCAAATAGAAGGCAACCGAGGTTGAGAAGAGGGCCCAAGAGGTAGGGAAATGAGCCGACGAATTGGCCAATCTTGCTTCTAGGGCTTACCTTGACGAGATCGAGGACACCAAGAAGGCACTTGCGGCGATGCTTCCAGACTTTGATGCCGAATCTTTGAAGGTGATCCCTGACTCTCCCGAAGAGGCTACTAATTCTGCACTTCCTCCTCTGGATGGTGGCGAGGCTTAGGCCAGGCTTTTTCTCTCTTCTTCTTTCTTTTTTTTTGACATTGTACATATGTTCGGCTCGAGGGGCCGTGAGACAATTTTGCAAAGCCAGGAATTTTGTACATAATGAAAATCAATGGCATTTTTTATCTCTGCCTCAAATGTTGTACTTGTTCTTTGCTATGTTGTTTTTCCATGTATTTTTTGCACCGTTTTTGCACTTGTGCTTTTGTTGCCGAAGGGTCCTTGCCCCTCCGAAAGAAAAAACACAACGTGAGACAAGCGTAGTTCTCTTTAGTTTACTTTGTGCGTTAGAAACGTGGTGGAGGGTGGCTGAGGCAAAGCCGCCGTGGCTAAGCCGGGGCTTGCCTAGCCTAATGCCCTTCTAAGCATTCACTTAGGCAAGGCCGAAGAGGCCTGCGATGGGGGAGGCCAAAGCGAAGCATGAGGCTCACCTAGCTTTCTTCCCCTCATACTTAAGTAAATAGCAAGATGACCTATCGACGTGAGGGTGGGACCCGAGGTTGAGCTGAGGCTCACC